CAGCCTTGCTGGCTGGGGAATTCTGGGAGTTGAAGTCTACCGGTCCTAAAGTTGCTAAGATTGAGACACTGCATTAGAGAGTCTGAAACCCTTGGGGGATTAACCGGGTTTCCCTGGCCTGCTCCTTGGCCCAGCTCTGCACAGGACACCTCCATTTCTTAGCCCTTGGCCATTGGTTTGATCCAGCTGCAGAGAGGTACTCACTTCGACACGCTGGTGATACTCAGGCAGCAAGAGAAGGGACTGGTCTGACAACAGGTAGCGCAGCCGCTCTAGTTCCTCCAACACCTGTTGGCGCTCTCGGAAGCGTACAAACTGGAGGGGAAAGAAGGAGATCCAAAAGGTGAGAGAAGGGCTGTAAACAAATCTGATACCCTCTTTCTTGTGCAGAATGATAACACCCATTTTCCCCAGCCACCATGGCATGGGAGGAGGGAATGCTGCTCATTGCAACGGGAAGGGGCCAGGCTGGGGGAGTCTGTCTGAATATTTGTTAACCTTCCTGGGAAAGAGGAAGTACATCTGGGCTGCAACTCCCTGTTCAAAGGAAACCCAAAGAGACTGCTTCTTCTCAAAGGACACAGCTCCTCTTCCCTCCAAGCTTTGCCTTGGGGAGCACTCAAATCTCTAGCAGAGGAGTGGGGAAAAGCACAAAGACCAGGTGAATTCTGCAACTGGCCTACTGCAACCATTCTACAGACTGAAGAAAAATCTGAGATGGATGGATGGATGGGTAGGTAGGTAGGTGCCTGGATGGATGGATGGATGGATGGATGGATGGATGGATGGATGGATAGATGATGGATGGTTGGATGGATGGATGGATGGATGGATGGACAGATGATGGATGGATGGATAGATGGATAGAAAGTTGGTTGGATAGATACAATTAAAATTGAAATAAATATGCATGAGCTCATTGTCTTTACGTTTACCAGCCGTGAGAAGCTAAAATGCAGGCATGTGCTACCTGCCTTCCGCCGAATCCTGTGCGGTTTTATTTCTACACTGCTGTTGTTCTCAGCAGAGGCCAGAGCAGTTTACAAGGCACAGGAAAAAAAAATACAACAAACCATCCCAACAGGACCAACAGTGCTTCAAAAAGAATAAAAATGATATTAATTAAAAAAAACAAACACTCAGAAAAGAAAAACAAGTAAGAGGCAAACTTAAAGGCAAATCTGATCCTGGAGGAGTTGCTAACCCATAGATACCTGGGTGAACAGGTGTGGTTTACTGTTTGGGGAAAAAGGATGGCAAGGGGGATGGCACCTGAAATAAATACACCCATTGCTCCCCTTCCTTTTGAACTGTACCAAGCCAGTCCCCCCTGCCCTGCCTCCTATTCCAAACCTGCCCACAAAATGCCAGCCCTGAACTGACCTCCATGTGGAAGAGGGGGCTGTGCACACACTGGAACCCTGGCAACAGTTCCTCCAGACCACGGGCCCGGATCGTGCTCTCTACCACCTCCAGATTCTTCAGCTGAAGGTCGTTCACGGGATCCAGAAGTGGGAGGCCTTCCTGAGCGCCCTCAGCTAAACGCAGCAGCTCCTGAGTTGCTGTGGCTGCCGATGGCCCAGGTGGGTCATTCCTGCAGATGGCGAGTCGGGGTGGAAGGGAAGGAGGAGCCCACAGTAGGTTTTGAATGCCTGACATCTAGGAACTGGTGTCTCCAGCAACTGGGTACTCTGAATCCTTCCAACATCTCTTTTGAGTTGTCACCTTAGCTTAGGAATCAGGAGTGTGGCACTCACCAAACTTAAAAAGCTAGATAAACCATGTCTAAATTACTATGAGGTCACCAACTTTCATGTGGTTTTAATCTTCTCTGATGAGATCGCAAGATTTTGGCTCTTTAAAAAGTGTTTGGGCATAATGGTCCCTGCTTTCCTATGTTACTATGTGACAGGAACACGCTTAGCAGAGACCGGATCGGCCCCAAACATCTGGCAACCAGCTTCAAAGAAGCAGTGATACATAACTCATAGAAATTGAGAGGAAAAACCCTGGATGTGTGCACACAGAGGCCTGCCCAATCAACCTGTACCTCCTCCTCCTTCTTATGCTCCAGGTTGTCAGGTTTTTTTTTGCAACAACTAAGCTCCAGGTTGTTGGAATGCAAACCTGAGGAAGGTTGTCTTTCCGAGTTCCCACATGTAAACACCATTTCCCAGGCACGTTTATTTATTTAGTAGACTTATATGGCTGCGCATCTCAAATGAATGACTCGGAGCAGCTAACAATATTACCAACAATACAAAACAAATACAAAAACATAACCCCTTAGCAGCCAGAAGAGGATAAAAGCCAACAAGCAATCAACATCACCAAGCAACTGGCTCCGTCTCACACCCGAGGCTCCGGGTTCAAGCACAGAGCCACGGCTTCAGAGACTCATGGAAGGCCAACAGGGACAGGGCCAATCTAATGTGTAGAGCAGTGTTTCTCAACCATGGCAACTTTAAGACGTGTGGACTTCAACTCCCAGAATTCTGGGAGTTGGTCCACATGTCCTAAAGTTGCTAAGGTTGAGAAACCCTTGTCTGGAGGGATGGTGTTCCAGAGGGCAGGTGCCATGACAGAAGAGGCCCTCCTCCAAGGTACCACAAGCCAACGTTCCTTATCTGACACAATCTGAAGCATGGCCCTCTTGCTGGATCAGAAGAAACAGCACATTTAGCTTCTCAGCTCACCTGAACCTGGGCATTTGTCGTTTCCTGAAATCCTCCAGGATACGCTCGGCATTAACACGAAGGGTTTTTGTTGTGATTCCCAGAATATCTGCTGGGCCCAGCTTCTTTATGGTATGTCCACAGGGGCCTGAGAGGGAGAGGAGAAAGAGTCTGGGACAGTGTTTCTCAACCTTGGCAACTTGAAGATGTGTGGACTTCAACTCCCAGAATTCCCCAGCTAGCAAGGCCGGCTGGGAATTCTGGGAGTTGAGGTCCACACATCTTCAAGCTGCCAAGGTTGAGAAACACTGGTCTGGGAAACTTTCTTGAGCAGCTGCGACTTAGAAGTGTGGGAAGTCAGACTGTTCAGTTTCTAACTCTCCTGAAGGAAATCCTTCTCAGCAATCTTTGACTGCATCGCCACATCTCTTTGGGACAGGCATTTGTCATCTCCTCCAAATTCTTCAAACATTTGGAATATTGAACAGGCATAATTATGCTTGTACGTTATCTTAAAGAGGTCCTGTTGGGCTTCCCTTGCAAGATCCTCAACGAATTCTGCCCCCTCCCCATCCTCCTGCCCTCAAATAACTCCTGCTCTGAGTTCCCATTGTGTAACCTTCAGGAAGGAAGAGCTTCATGTGCAGAAGATCCTCAGGCAGAGGCACTTCAGCAGCAGCAGCAGGATTCAACTCCCGTTCTTCAGCCAAGTCCCGCTCCATGGAGTTCTTCTCACACATCACCAAAGTGCTGAAGACCCGATTGGCTGAGTCTGAAGAAACCTGGTCAAGATCTTGATTTCAAAATGGCACCCAAGAGCCACCAGGCCCAACTTCCACGTTAGGCAGAAACCAGCTGCAACTCTCTTTTCCAAATTCAGTCCCAATTACGGGGGGCAACTGCATCGCAAGATGGGATGCTGCGAGCTTCAAGACGTTCTTAGAAAAGGAGATGCTGCCCGAGAAGTGTGGCGCATTTAGTAGGGCCTTATCCAATTAATATATCACAGCTAGTGGCAGCACCATTAAACCTGGCTATCTCAAAAAAAAAAAAAGCTGAACAGTCTGGCCTGATTAGCACTTGGATGAGAGGCCTTTGGGAATCCTGGGGCTATAGGCTAGTTGGGATAACAAAACAATAAAAGAAACGCTCTGGAAGAAGGCAAAGGCAGATCACTTCCACATCAATGCCAGGGAATCTAGATAGACAGGAGCCAAGTTCAACTCAAGCTGTTACTTTTATCATGTCCAATAAATACTGGAATCCTATACAGATAGTCCTGATTTAGTGACCACAATGGGGACGGGCAACTCGATCGTTAAGCGAAGCAGTTGCTAAGTGAAACCATGACTGTGTTTATGATTCTTCAGCTTTCCTTTGCTTTACAGACCTGCAAAAGTCATAAATGTGAGGACTGGTCGCAAAGTTATTTTTTCATTGTTGTTGTAACTGCAAGTGGTCACTAAAAGAGGCAGTTGCTAAATGAGGACTACCTGTATAGACCTTGCCAGAGGAGAATCTCACTGAATTTAAGTCAATTCACCAGGTATTAAAAAAAAAAAACTATACAGAAACAAGGAGCACGTACAGCATGCTGGCTGGGGAATTCTGGGAGTTGAAGTCGACAAATATTAAAGTTGCCAAGGTTGAGAAACACTGGGTTAGAGGACTGAATGACTTAGGGTTCCTTAGCTTAGTATGTGATAGAGCCTTTCCCAAGCTGGTCCTTCCATTTCATCTGTAAAGCGCCAGTCTGGAGCAGGCTAGTGTGATTAAGTGTGGGAACAATGGGACCTACCTGCAAGATCATTCCCAGGGCATTCTTGTGCTCTTGGTGGTTCACCACAATCACTCGCCCCACAGAAAGGGCTTTCAGTCCATTCACCGATTCCATTACTCGCCTCTGAAAGGGAGAAACCCATATATGAAGGCAAGAAATGCATCTTCCCACCCATGAGTGGACTTCAAAGAAGAACAATTTATCATTCCATTTTCCTCAACTTGATTCTTTCCAGGCACATTAAACCACAATTCTCATCACTCCCAACCAGCAGGGTTGATGGACGAGGTGGATGAGTATGATGTAAGTTGTTGCTCAATATACTTGGAAAGGACAAGATTGGAGAAAACTGGAATGGAACGCCTTTCCTTTCCATCCCAACCTAAAATGCTCCAGATGTTTTTATTAATTTTATTTATTTATTTAATTTCTACAGCCACCCGTCTCAACCAAGTGACTCTGGGCAGCGAACAATTCTAAAACAATAAAAACAGTTAAAAACAATATAAAAACTAATATATATACAGAAGCCGAAAAAACTATTATGATAATTATCAATAGAGTCAAGAGACAGGGCCCTTAACACATTCGAGGCCCCAGCCCCGAGCACACGGCTAGGTCTTTAAAGCCTTATGAAAGCCCAAAAGGGTCAGGCCTGTGACTCCTAAAATGTGTGGACCTGCAGTCCCAATTCAACAGCAGGATACTAGATTGGGAAAGACTGTCTCAGAATGATACCTGCCTAGGATCTGAAACAGGACAATTCCAAGAGGTGAAAAAAGAACCTTACGTCCCAATTCCTCCAGTCAGTACCTGTATGCGCTCCCGTATCTCTTGCAGTTCTCTGACTACAGAATAATACTCTTGTAAGTCACCAAGCTGTCTTGATGTGTCTGGGACTTCCATGCTGGCCAACATGCTACTCAGCTGGGTGATTCTGTGTTCATAGACCTGGAGAGGAGAGGCAAATGGTGAAGCAAAGCCATGGAGTATCCTAAGCCTTGCCTTCTCCTTCCCACCCAGCTCCGAACCATTCTGAACATAAAGAAGCTGCATACCAGGATTGGCTACTGTGGCTCCATGTGTTGTGTGAACACAGCAGAAATGGTCAATTTATGGATTCAGCACGCTGCATGTACCCAGCCCAATGGTTTAATGGGCTAGCACATCAGGTGAACACACCCACCACAGAAGGCCTAGGAAATCTTTTTGGGTTGTCCAGATGGGCTGGCTATCTAGCTTATGGAGGAGCAACTGCTATGTGCACAGCAAGTTCGAGGTTCAGTCCTTGATGCCAAATGAGAACAAGTCTCTGGTACATCTTTGGAAAATCACTGCCAGATGGGGGGACTTGATTGCCCATAGCAGCTTAGGTTTCATCTTCTTGACTTAAGAGAGGGTCCTCCAATCAACAGACTTCTACAATTTCTTTCTCCTCTACTCCCTGTATTATTTCCTTACTCAGCCTCCATTTTCTTCCAGGCAGCCTTCTGCCTTAAAAGAGGGAGAGTCCTTCAGGATCCTAATACACACTTCTTTTCCATTATCCTCCCACCGCCTCACTCTTCCTTCCCAGAAAACGTTAGGATGCTGCCCTGGACTCCTCTCAAGCATCTTTGAGTCTTTCCAGTAGCTACCTCAATTTGCCATCTTTTCCCCAAGCCACCCACCACACCTTGCTGTCCTTCCGGGTGTGGAACTCGGAGAAGCTTCTCTTCATCATATCTTCCACTCGGAGTGCCTCCACTCTCAACAGGTTTAGGATCATAGTGTAAGTCAGGCGGAACTGAGACTGCAACTGAGTAGGCTTGCCCTAAAGAAACAGCCTAGGGTCAGACAAGGAGGCGGCAAAGCAGATTTTCCTAGAAGATGCTATAAGAGATGATGGGTTGGCAATGCAGTAGGCAAAGACACGCATACACTTGAACCCTTTGGAAAAAGAACAATGGCCCCTGGATTTAACTTCCTAAGAGCTTGAGACCAACCAGGTCTCAACCCCTTATGACTGTGGAAAAAAAGGTTTGAATGTGCAATAGCCATGAATCTTCGAAAACTCTCCAGGGATTGTTATATAGTACTTCCAATGCAGGAGGAGCATCACTCTGGGGCAGTGTTTCTCAACCTTGGCAACTTTAAAATGGGTGGACTTCAACTCCCAGAAATCCCCAGCTAGCATGCTGGCTGGGGAATTCTGGGAGTTGAAGTCCACACATCTTAAAGTTGCCAAGGTTGAGAAACACTGCTTTGAAGCCTCTTAGAGCTCCGTACGCCTCTTCATAACCAATTAACCAAACTAAACCAAGAAATGGCAAAATGACACAACGTTAAGGATCGTGCAAATTTGCTTAATATTCAGACAAACCCAAAGTATGGATGGCTTTAATAAAGAATTAGACCAATGCATGGAATACATGCGTACGCCTCTTCATAACCAATTAACCAAACTAAACCAAGAAATGGCAAAATGACACAACGTTAAGGATCGTGCAAATTTGCTTAATATTCAGACAAACCCAAAGTATGGATGGCTTTAATAAAGAATTAGACCAATGCATGGAATACATGTCCATCGATCAGCTAAGATAATGAAACAGAATGTCCAAGCTGAAGCAGCAGACATCTGATTCTTGGACCCAGAAGGTTCTGGCTGTCCTTAACAAGGTTGCAATCAACTTTCAGCCTCAGCCAGAAGAAAGCTTATTACTAGCTGTAATTTCAACCCAAATATTTCAAGACTTAAGCAACCGCAGTGAAGCTGGAAAAGCACACCCCAATCACTCACCAACATCATGCGATGAAGGTCAGCCATTTCAGGCACTTGGTTTTTGCACAGGATAATCACCATCCCGGTGGTGTCAAGACCTCGACGCCCTGCCCGGCCTGCCATCTGGATGTATTCGGCTATTTGGATGCGGAAGAAAGAGAGATACGTGGCTGGCTGCTAGTAACCACCACTGCCATCAAATAAGGGATAGACACCCAGAAGGAAAACAACACAAACTTCATTCTTGTCTGAGCACGGCTGACAAATGAGACCTCATCTCTGTATGCTCTGCTAGAATGTTATCCCTTTTGCCTCTTGTCATATAGGGGCCCGCCGCTAAAAAGGACAAGCTATTTTCACTTTCCTTTGGGGAGGAAACCAGCATAGTTGTGCTGCTGTTGCTGTATGTACGTTCCTGGTCTCAAAGTGGCCAAAAAATATCATAAGCAGACAGAATGAATTGGCCGGATGCTATTTTATCTACAAGACATATCAGTGGCTCTAGGAGATCCCCGAGGGATGTGCCATCTTTAAAGGTTTCACGGCAGACAGTGACAAGATAAACAGTCAGCTAAGACAAAAAGCTGGAGGAGGGAAGAGGGAGATGATGTGCAAGAGAAGGGCAGATAGATGTTTTGTCTGTAGAAGATCTGGTCATCCTACTTACCAACCCGCCCCCCCGCACTCCCAAAAAAGGCTCATCATGAAACACGCTCCTCCACTCCTACCTGGCACCAGGTCCCGGAAATTAGCACCATCATGTTTACGAACTGAATTGAAAACCACAGTCCTTGCTGGCATGTTCACCCCCATGGCGAAAGTCTCTGTGGCAAAGAGGATCTAGACCAGAAAGGAAGGAGAAAGATGAAGAGATTCCCCCTGCCCCTCCTGGCAATTGCCAGAATGGCTTATAGGAGCCTTCTTCAGCCTGACACTTTCCAGAGGGTTATGTTTCTTCTCTGTAGTCCTCCAGCCAGATGACCAGGGATTGTGGGAGTGTTCCAACCACCTGGAGGCACAAGATTGGGGAAGTCTGGTCTATGGGACATACCTTGACAAGGCCTTTG